TGGGTCCCGCACTGGGTCCTAAATTTTGCTTTTTCATCTCCTTTTGGGAATGATCTTGCTTCTCTGGGTCCCGTACTGGGGCCTAAAAAATTTTCAATTTTGCAAATTAAACTAATACTACAGTGAGATCCAAAAAAAAAAAAAAAATTTTTTTTTGAATTCACATTTTCAAAACAAAACAACTTTAAAAAATTAAACAACATTTAATAAAAAAAACATAACGCGTCCTTTTGAATTTACGAGAGTCCCTCGGAGGAGGTAACCCACGGTTGCTAACGAAATCTCCCCGGTTTAAATGAGTTTCATAATTTGTTTAAACTAAGTAAATTAAAAAAAAAATAGTGAGACCAGAACGAGGGAACCGTGTGATCCTAACCGGTGTAACTCTAATCAACTTTAACCCTCCTAATGAGAACAAAACCGAAACCTTGAAACACATAATAAAACCTTTTGAACCTTAGACTTTAGAACTGCTACTTCGACGAGGAACTTGGAACCAACTTTATTGGCAGCACGACAAGGAGCTTGGTTCGAGCAACAAGAGGATCTTTTTCAACAATCTTTCTCTTCTTAGTCTAAATAACAACTTATACGATTTCAAGGTAGCTCGTCCAGCGCGACGTAAATCCTCATACCCTCTTCAGGCCCTGTTACAACCACGTTGTGTAGCGTATGTCTTAATTCGCTTTAGGTTCTGAGATTTTCGTTCGTTACGACGTACACCCTCATGTCTTTGCGGGTTATTTGTATAATCGACTATTATGCAAATGTAAGTCCCAAATAATAAAACTAGCAGGACTAAACACCTTAATAACATCGTTTCCAAAAATTAGTCACACAGTAGGATAGCTTGAGAAGTCATTGAGGGATCTGGATATGTGACATCATCTACTATTTCTTTCATTTGGACTCCTGAAAATAACTGTTCCTATTTGAGCTACTCCCACTTGCTTTTTCACGTTCTACCGTGAAAACTTAAACATTGAAATCTTGAAGGCTATTACCGCTGATCATTATCGAGTTTTCTCAAGTGACCCTAATCATTTGTGATATAATTAACTGTAGGGGCTTGTCTCTATAGGGAACTTGGAACCCATGTAAAATAAATTCTATTTAATCTTTATATTAGATAAGAGAACTTGTCGGTCACACATAAGAGGTTCGCAGACCAAACATATGTCATGGATCTCTTAGTTTGCAGGATTGGGTCCATCGCCGAGATATACACTTATCTTTCGGGAAGGTGTAGTATTCGCGGTATTGGACACGATTATGCGAACTATTAGACGAATGAGATCTATTTGGTGTCATTTTTTTTTTCATAAATAAAACATACTAATTTCAAAACCCAAACTATATACCTCTTATATAAAATTAAATTTCAAATTTATTTTTAATTTTCAAAAATCAAAAAGTTGACCGACACTCTCTTCTTATATTCAATGTCAAATCGACGCGGCCTCGACTCTATGTCACTTGAAGCTTCCTTATGGCAAGGGTTTTTTCTTGTTCTTGTTCATCTTGGTGGTTACTGTTGTTATTTTGGGTTACTTTCCCATGTCATCTTCTTTCAAAATCAGTGAGTCTCTATTGTAATTGAAGGCTTTTCCCATAACATGTGTTCCATGGTGAGCTTCTAAACACCTTATTAAGAGCTTTTTTTTTGTGGCATGGTGTCACGTTTTTCTAATTAGAATTTTGGCTAAGAGGAAAAGGGTGATTTGGGGTTAAGGCTAAGATGATGATGTGGGGATAATTTTTTTATGGATGTATTGTATTAGTTTAGTTTATTTGAAATTTTGGCTTGGGAGTGAAGGAAGACACATCCCTAAAATATTAGAGTTTATGGGCTCTGATATCATATGACATCATTTTAGGTCTCCTAGAAAATGTTTAGAAAGGGATCTAGTAGGGAGGTGGTTGTGAAATAGTAAATGAATGATAATTTGTCAGTTTGACGATGTTTGAAAGGGGATATGAGCCATTCGGCAGCTGTCCAGACTGAAAAGTATAGAGAGAACTCCAAAATGATGAGATACAAATAGCGAGGAGGTTCACCACCTATTCCTGAACAAGCTACAGACACACCAGTTGCAAAAGAAAGAGGGTACAACACTCATTAAGGCACAAATCAGAGACATAACAAAAAATCTGTAAACCAGAGAATAACGATATATAAATTGTTCCCAAACGAAAGAAACCTAATTCTAATTAAAATAATATTAAAAAGAGGCCCACAAGGGCGTTACAGCAACAAAAGGAGGCAAAAATCCTGCTGCAGCCCTTCAGGCTGCCGTTCCTCTTGTCGAATTGCAGGATTTTGTGTTTCTGCAGGATTTTGCAATCCCGGATCGTGGAAAGTTCACGGGGAGCTCCCCCATCAAATAACCAGGTTTTTCAAAATGGCCTCAACATGAAAATTATAACATGCTGTAGATGCAATAATTAACTAAGCGAGCCCACATAATTCTTTGGGTTGTGCATGAGAGAAATGAATCATGTGCTGATGATTGAATGTTTCACTAATAAGAAAAACCAAGTTGCATTGATAATTTAGCATTTTATTAATGGTTTTTATACCCCCTTGAACATTGTTTAGTTTTGCATAGTTCAATATCGCTGATTCTTTTTTATGATGCGGAGTGCCTTTTGGGGACTAGGTTGGATGAAATAATTGAAATATAGAAAGATCTACTTACCTTGGTTTTTCATTTTTATTTTTTAATTTTATTAATACTGCTGGCTAAGTCTTTTTGAAGATCTATCTATTGTTTACAAGAGAATTTCTATCGGATTTTAATTTTAAACAATATTATATTTACTAGTCAAATTCTAGAACAAATGCACAGTAAGCTCTAAAGCTGACCCTTGTCTTCTTAAAATTTGTCTCCCTTGTATTCTCGTCTTTCTGTATTTTTGTATATGCGGGTTACCTATTAGTTTCATTTAAGTAGCGAGATCTTTTACTTAATCTTTCTTTCTTGACATCAGATGTAGGGTTACCTATTAGTTTCATTTAAGTAGCGAGATCTTTTACTTAATCTTTCTTTCTTGACATCAGATGTATTTTAAATATGAAAACTATAAACCTTTTTCATGTTATTGCATTAGGTTTTGGGAGAATTTATTAGGTTTATGACCTGTTTTTGTTTCATATTTCATTTTTTTTCCTACTTTTCAACAGATGTTTCTCTTGATCAGACCGCTGAAATATCTAAAGTGCCCAAAGGTGATATGTGGTCTGTTCATAAATTTGGTGGAACGTGCATGGGAACTTCGAAAAGAATTCAAAATGTTGCAGATATTATTCTGCAAGATTTATCTGAAAGAAAGTTGGTAATTGTCTCTGCAATGTCAAAGGTTACGGATATGATGTATAATCTTGTATACAAAGCGCAGTCTAGAGATGACTCATATGTTTCAGCTCTTGATGATATTTTTGGAAAGCACTTGTCAACAGCAACGGAGCTTCTTGATGCTGATGACCTGGAAAGGTTCCAGTCTCTGTTGCATAATGATATCAGCAACCTCAAAGCAATGCTTCGTGCGATATACATAGGTTTGAACTCTTAATCTATTTTTCTTAAGTTGATGAATTGGATATGATCAAGCATTCTTCACACCTGTAACCCACTTGGCTTCCCTTGTAAATTTAATTTTGAATTATTGCATGCTTCAAATTTAATTAGGCATTTGTTGCAATCTTTTCCTTATTGGGTCGGCCTTTTCCATGTTATTTTGATGGGTCAAATTATTTCATATTCCCTTCGATCGAAATTTTGTGCTGAGCAGCAGTTATAAATTTTTCACTCATGTTTATATATTAAAATGTTGTTTTCATGACCTTTCAATGTGAATGATGCCTAAGCTCTGGAAATGTTTGTGTGAAAGAAGCTTGTTGACCTTCATAGCTATTCTACATCAATTGTGATCAAACATGGCAAACGACGAATAACGAACATATTATCACATGAGTTGGGTTTGCTATGCTAGATTCCCCACTCAACTATTCACGTTGCATATTTGCAAGGTTGATTGTATCAATGTCACGTAAAAAGAATCTAGAAAAGACGCTCATGTTTCTGGATTACCACACAGTGAAGGAGATGTATTTTGGACATGATTTCATACAAATTGAGTCTAAAAATATCTCACATAAATCAAAATCATCAATTTGTCGCTTTTTTCTTGAAACAGACTTTGCCAACTAGTCTAAACCTTTGAAATATCCAAAATGCGACCTCCCGCATTGTCAAATACCCGTCTAACGAAAATGGCAAACAATGGACACGATGTCATGCAAGTTCAACCAAAACTTATAACACAAATCAAATTCATGAAATTGTTACTCATTTCATGGAAAGTCTAATTGTTAGACTAACACATCCAAAATGCCACAATTAGAGAGGAAAGATACTCGTATTGCTCTATGAAGCACCAAGTCGAACCATGCAATTTACTTATGAAAAAGGTGATGGAATGCATGAGTAGATGTGAGGACACTAAAAATTTACGGGCAAATTTTGGAACGCTCCAAAACAAAGAAGCAAATTTATTATTATCTTTTATATATATATAGCAGAAGGAGAAGCAATTTTATTATTATCTGTTATATTTACGGTTGAATTAGATTCCCAGATTTGACGGGTTTTGAATTAGCACATGAGGATTGGTTTGGGGGGTCCGCCCTCCAACCAATCCTTTATATATATATATATATATATATTAGATAAAAGAGCGGCTCGTGGCTCCTTACACGTTAATACTTAAAAAGGTTACAAAATATGGGCGAGATAGTGGATTGGATCCCTATCTAACATCAAAATAAAGTAGATCGTCAACCTATGGGTTCTAAAATCCACAGTACAATGCAACGTAAAAATGTGTATATATATATATATATATATATATATATTGAAATCCCCCAAATGCTGATCATGTCCACAAGTTTCGTAGGTCATCTCTTGTCTATGATGTAAACCAGATATAATTAATAAAATCTAATCAAAATTTTCACCAACATTGGCACGCCTCTATCCTCTCTTGCTCGCTCTTGTTCCTTGGTCTAGATCCCTTGCCCTTGATCTCCCCAATCGCAGTAACTCATGTGTCCCTAGCCACCCTTGCGTAAGTTTTTGAAATCCTCAACGACGAAGAAGGAAGCTAGAGCGAGCTCACTATTGTGGGATTTTAAAATACTAATGACATGTGCGGAAGAATGGTTGAAAAAAAAAATACTCTCAATTCTATTGATAGTAGCATGCGCTTAATATCTTTTAGCCACCGACTCACTCAACTGCATGGCATCGATGAAATCAACTGTGAGTAAAGAGAAGAGGCGTTCATGAGATGTGTGGGGTTAGGCTAAATGACTACACATTGTCAGATTTGTGGGGCTATTTAAATTGCCATTAGTTCAATATTCCCTGAAAGAACCAAACACATTAAGTTGGCTCACTTTGTTGTAGATGTTGTGTTATCAAAGATGCTTGTTGCTCTTCATCTCTCTAGTAATATATTCATTAATTCTTTGTGTGCTCTTCAGCTTTAAAAAATGTGCTTCAAGTTGGAGCTAACTGCTTCATCTGCTCCAACTTGTGCAAGTGAGTTGATGTTATCATTTACTTAGACTGCAGTCTTTCTCCTATTCTAAATAGGAGATCTTCCTATTGAACAAACATACAAAACGTTTTTTAACTAGCTTGAGCTCTCTCAAGCTCAGCTTGTTTACAACCCTACTTGGAACATCATTTTTGTGATTCTTTTGATTCAAACAATGTGAAGCTGATATTTGCTAAACATATTTAATCCCTATCAGATGAAGAAAATTTATGACTTGATTCCCAACTTTTGTTCTTTGTTTATATTTAATTAACATAATTAGATATTAATTTGTTAGTATTTTTGTTTTTATTCAAATTTTGGCACATTAAAAATCAATTTGTGGAAACAAAACTTTAATTACTTGCCAAACTTCATGTTTCTAAATCTTTTTTTAATTTCTCAGATTATATAGATCATTTCATTATCAATTGTATTTTAATTTAAGAATTTTTTATTTATATTTCAAGTAACTCATGGAATTATTTAGGGCTTGTGAAATGTGAGCCATCAATTTCCTTTACATGTATTCATCTTACACATCATAATGATTTCATTAGAAAGTTCTAACTTCGAGTCATCTTGCTTCATTATGCTTGCTGGACTGTTAGTTATTGCAATGTAACCTTCCATCGGCTGATATTGACTTAAGTTTTGGTTTTCAATTTTTAGGTTTACAATTTTATAATAAGAATTTCTTTCACATGCATGTTCAATTATGAAACAAGCCGAAGAACCTTTCAATGTTGACTTCTACAATCAAAACTTGCATCCATGTGTCAACTTATTTTGTTTATCCTGACTAATGATTAGGTACAAATTATAATGACTAATTTTTTGGTCTATTATTCTTATTCAAATTGCCTTTCAACATTTTTAGAAAATGAAACCCTGAGGATTAAGAACTACTTGAATTTTCTCATAGTTTGTTTTGACTTGTCTTTAGGTTTTACTCGTGTGGTAGAAATATCTTAATAGGTATCTATATACACCTATTCCATCCGATTCATTGATTTTTGAACAGGTGCAATAATTATTTGTTGATGTAGAAATACAAGTTATTAAATTGGACATAATTAATTATTATGTTCATGCGTTTGATAAAAAAAATATTATACATTTTTTACTCTTCCTAATTTACTGCTGCTGGTCACTTTCTAGAAATTCCAAGCTAGAGTGTCAACATACTGTTATTCTAAAGTTCAGTAACTATGTTTGGATTGGTTGAGCAATCATGTTACATTAAGGCTGATGATTTCTCAGTGTGCATTTCTCTAATTTTAATTGCATTTTGCAGCGGGCCATGCTACAGAATCATTTTCTGACTTTGTAGTTGGCCATGGAGAACTATGGTCTGCTCAAATGTTGTCCTGTGTCATAAGAAAGGTCAGCTGATTGAGTAATCTGGGTGTTTTTTTTTTTTCAATTAAAATTGTTCTGATATTTTTTGTTTCGGTGATGCAGAATGGTAGGCCGTGCTGTTGGATGGACACACGAGATGTTCTCATTGTGGAGCCTAACGGTTCTAATCAAGTGGATCCTAACTATGCTGAATCTGAAAAAAGACTTGAAAAGTGGTTTGCTCAACAACGGCCTGATATCATAATTGCTACTGGATTTATTGCCAGTACCCCTCAAAACATTCCCACAACTTTGAAAAGGGATGGTAGTGACTTCTCTGCAGCCATACTTGGTTCTCTAGTAAGGGCTTGCCAAGTAACCATTTGGACTGATGTTGATGGTGTTTTCAGTGCTGATCCTAGAAAAGGTCCAGCTTTCTGCTGTAGTTTACACTTTATATAGCAATGGTGATTTTCTTGTAGTACAATCGTAATCTTCAATTCTAATATAATTTTGGGGCATTTATATTCATACCACACAATTCTTATGTATTTACATATCTAAACTTTCTTATTTATATGTATACTACTCAAAATTTTAACATCAAATAAAAAATACCCCAATTACTAATCTTTTAAAAATAAATTATTCCTTTACATTTATGAGTTAATGAGATCAAAGTATCATAATTGCAAATATCAAATTTTAGGTGCTAGATATGCAATTCATAAAACTTATGTGGTTTGCATGTAAATTTTCGTATAATTTTCAAAATACGACAACTAGATGTGGAACATGATCGGTGATGATATTTTGATTGTGAATAGTCTTAAGGTATTAAATGGTATTACTGAGAAATTAATTTTTTTTGCAGTTAGCGAGGCTGTCATATTGAGAACTTTGTCCTACCAGGAGGCCTGGGAAATGGTAACCTTCATAGTATTCCCACTTTTGTTATTTCTACACTTTTTAACATAAACTTTATTTGCAGTCATACTTTGGAGCAAATGTGTTGCATCCGCGCACGATTATTCCAGTGATGAAGTATAACATTCCAATTGTAATTAGAAATATATTCAATCTATCTTCACCTGGGACTATGATATGCCAGCAACCGGAGAAAGAAAATGGTGAAGGAACGGCCTTGGAGTCTGTTGTCAAAGCATTTGCTACCATAGACAATTTGGCTCTTGTTAATGTTGAGGGGTGAGATATGTCTTGGAATATGGTTTGCTATTAGTTTTTTGTTCTCAAAATATTTTCTATTTTTTAAACCTTGAAAAATTTAGACATCATCTGTGATGCAATTTTTGAATTGAATGCTGTTAAATATAGAGAAATGTTACAACAGGATAATACTCTATTTTTAGGTGGCGTTGTATGCTTATTTTGGTGTATCTTAGATCATTGAACTTATTCAACTACTATAAATAGGGAGGGTTTTTAGTGAACAAGATAATTTTTTATTGTTCTCAGCATATGATTAGAGCTAGGGATAGTTTATTTCGTCGCCCCTCCAAACATCTTGATTCAAATCCGCACTACACCCTCTCGTGTTCCTACTTCCTGATCACATGCTCCACACAGTGCTCACTAACATGTCCAAATCTGTGTTCACTATCATCCTCTGATTACTGACCCATATCAATCTTTCGCTCATGCAGTTTAATATGTGCTCGTTTTGCAGTTGCTTAGGATTCTATACTCCTGCACTGGCTATCTCTTAAAACTATGCTCGCTATCTCTGTATCACTGTTCAATGTCTGCCCTTCTTGTCACCTTTTGCTACAACTGATCGTTAACCATTCCAACGGTTGCTCAACACTTAGGGAAAGTTCACTTCTTGCATCTCCTCTTATTAATTTGAGTGATATTTTGATTTTTATCTCTTTTTTCTCATGGTTTCCATCTCTTTTCACTGACTCAAAAACATCCTAAATCATTGGTTCTACTATCAAATTTAATGATGCTAATTGTCCACGGTAATAAAGGTCCTTTTGTTTGTTGGCTCCACGACAGACTTTATTACTTAGATGCTTTTGCGTTAGATAGTAGTGACTTCAGTAAGTTTTCTAAATGACAAGCATTCATTCTTAGTCGATCAAGTGTCTTTAACTTTTAGTTGCTTAAATTGCATATTTCAAGACCCAAACAAGAAGATGCGGGTTTTCTTTATTCCATCAGATATTAGAAAAGCAATATTTCTTATGCTTTTTACACTCAGAAAATTTTTTTCTTACAAAATGATATTCGAACTTAAGAATACTATAACACTTTGAGAGGCAAATGAGATGAGTTACTCAAAACACCATCCCTTAGTATTGACTTGATTGTTTTGCCAAAAGTAGAACAAATAATTATTTTGGTTACCAAATTTCTCTTTGGTTTGTATCATTGTTTACAAGTTGTGCAATGTCAATTAATGACATACTCCATGATTCCTAACATTGTGACCTCTCTCTCTTAGATTTTTTATATCACCGAGCTCACACTCCTTACTATTTTTGATAAGTCGGTTTTGGTTGCTATCTCTAAGGGTGATAGGAGTTGTGGAGATGGTGGTTGTACTATTGGAAGTTGTAGCTGTGGCTGTAGTACTATTTGCACCAATCTTCACTTGAAAGATGCTTAAAAAATAGTTACGCTCAGTACTGATGGTGCTTAATAATCAGTCCAACCCTTCTTAGTCCTAATGCTTCCTTTGGATTCAGTACTGTTTTAGAAAGACCGTCTTTTTTGCTTTAGCATTCTTAGACAACTTTCACAATTTTTAATACCATCTATCCCTTTGGTTCTATTGTAGCCATCTGTATTGGCAAATCATGAGTTTTAGACTCGGATGCCTCTTCTTATATGATAGGTACTTTTTATGTATTTTCATCGCTCTACATGTTCAAACATTTTATAAATCCCTTAATTTTTCATAAACCTATTATGCCGTCTTTTAAGTTCCCAACTGTTCAATAAGCTTTCATCACTCTCATTATGTTTTCAAGAGCTTAGCTTGAGGAAGATGATTCGTAGACTTGTTGAAGTTGGCAGAGTCTACTACTTGGCAAATGATGGCGTTTATCAATGACACTATTGTTTTAACCAGCCTCCACCTAATATTCTTGAAGATTATGTTTTAATCTCCTCATCTCTCTTCAAGTTTGATTGTCCAGCTGATGAATTAGGTAAATATTATTGCATGTTCTTCATTTTACTACTAGTCATTGAAATATTTCTTTTGAGTTAGTCTACTTAGACATTTAGAGTCTTGCCTAGTTTTTACTTATTTAGGATTCTAAGATTTTGCCCCCTTAATGATGATTATTCTATATGCTTGCTCAAATGGTAGTCAACGTTTTTTGTGTATTTTTCAACTTTTTGAAGAGAAATTAAAGTCCAATCTTCTATATTAATCTAAATTTTATGAACTAATAATGATCTAAAATCTATACAATCTCAGTTTCAAAGTTTTGTTTTGACAAATGTGATATTATTTATCAAACTTATTTCTTAAATTTTTTATCTCCATACATCTCAACCTAATAGTGTTGATAAACTAAAAATCACAATCTACATGATGCTAACTAGATCTAATGTTTTATGTGAATGCTCCTTGTTACTACTGTAGGGATGCAGTTTTAATTAGGGGTGTAAACGAGTTAAATATGAGCGAGCCCGGGCTCAGGTCGTGCTCGACTGTTTAAAAAATATCACTGTTCGTGTTCGACTCGTTTATATTTCAAACACAAAAAGTGTACTAGTGTTCGACTTGTTTGTTTAGCGAGTCGAACACGAGCGAGCCCGGGCTCAGCTCGTGCTCGACTCATTAAAAAATATCATTGTTCGTGTTCGGCTTGTTTATATTTCAAACACAAAAAGTGTACTAGTGTTCGACTTGTTTGTTTAGAGAGTCGAACACAAGCGAGCCCGGGCTCAGCTCGTGCTCGACTCATTAAAAAATATCATTGTTCGTGTTCGGCTTGTTTATATTTCAAACACAAAAAGTGTACTCGTGTTCGACTTGTTTGCTTAGCGAGCCGAACAGGAGCTGTTTGCGAACAAAGACTCATTTTGACAACTCTAATCACACAACCATAGGATGTTAAGGGTTGAGGCAAGATTTAACTCTTATTGTTTATATTAAAATATTATTTAAATATAATTTACTATATTTTTATTCTACTTTTTTAATTAATAATTTGAATTGATTATAAATGTTTGTAGCTTTGTTGTCAATTAAATATTTTTCAAAATACTACTCATCAAGATATTTACTTGGTCTCAAGTTGCATTTTTTTTACCATGAAGTTCTCTACTCTATTGGGGTCATCCTTAGAGATCTTTTGAAGCTAGATCTGTCTACTTTCAACATAACCAGACCCTCGGTGACCACAATACTTATGAAAAGGGATATTACTTTACTTGATGTTACTGAAGTTTGGCTGGGCACGACCCATAATGATTATTGACAACAAATCGTCATGGAGCACAGACCCTCATATTGTATCCACTGTAGGAGGATACTATCAGACATGAGGTGTCTGTTGCCCCTGAGGAACCCTCTCATGACATTGTTGTTACTGTTACTGCGAGTGATGTGATGCTGATACCTTTAAACCTCATAAAAAATAATACTAATGGACTATCGATGAACTATTACCTACAAATGATAATGTTCAGACTGATTATCAGGAGAGTCTCGTATCTCCACTTCTTTAGGAAGTATCCGGTGTAGAGGCACCTCGGACTTCCCCTTACTTCACATATATTAGAACACATTGTGGGTACTACGGTTGGTATTCCTTCTGCTGCAGCCAACCACCCCATCAGACTGATTCTTCGGAAGAGGAATGACAGGTCTATTCGAGGAGGAAGAAAAAGAATGGAGGCCGACTCTAGCTCGGGAATATATTGGATGATACATTGGTTACTACTGGCAATGAGAATCATCTTACCAACTTATTAGCTTGCTCCTTCCCTAGAACTAGAGGCAGGGGCAAGACCAAATTGGGTCGCTCTCTAGCCACCTGATACTATGTATTTCGACACTGTTAGATTTTCTATTTAAGTATCTAATGTATTTTTTCTGTTTTTTCTAGTTTTGAAACTATTTGTGGTTTTTATGTGAGCAGAGTGTCATGCTGGGCTTTCAATATATATATATATATATATTAAAAAAAACCCAATGACTAATATATTAAAAAGAAAAGATACAAATAGATTGTATGAGAGGGCCTAAAAGAAGACCCAACTCACACAATACAACACACACAAATTCAAATAAAGCAAAAGTACTCAAATAAAGCAAAAATACAAAAAGATAAAAAATTAAAAAGCCACCAACGGACGCAAAAGTGTTAGGGACGTTCCACTTTAGTCCTCTCTCTGCCTCTAGTTCTCGGAAGGGAGACGACTAACAAATTGGTAAGGTGCGTATTATTACTCGAAGTAACCAAAGTATCGTCCATCAGATTTTTGAGCTCAAGTAGGTCTCCATTATTCCTCTTCCTCCTGGATGTGTAGACCTGTCATTCATCTTTCGAGGATTGACTCATCTGATCAATGGATTGTTCCAAAGGTGGTCGAACAAGTGTAGGTTGTTGCACATCATCATCCCCATGAGCCCGGGTAACATTAATATTTTGCTCGACCTGATGAGACGGTAGTGAAACAGTAGAAGTATTGTCACCTGTAATATCAGTGATAGGTTCTAGGGCTGGTCTGGTCTGAAGAATCTCCCACGCCCCCATGATAAGAGGTTCCAAAGACGGGGGAGCTACAACATTGTGTGGAGACTGAATGGTTGGCATATTGCCTGCGAAGATAGTGATGTCTTCAGGGGTTTCATTTTGATGATCAATAGTGTCAATAGCTTGAAGCTGATCAGGAGGAGATGGATTCTCTGCCTCTAGCGGAGCGTTTTGCTTTTTTTGTCTGAGTTGGGGGTGAAGATGGTGGCATTGAGAACTGGAGTGACTGAATATACGACAGTTCGAACAATAAGAAGGAAAACACTCAATCACTACCTTTTGCCAATATCCATGGTGCTGTGTGCCTAACAAAATTTTCTCAGAAGCGGATGAAGTGACATCTCTTTTAATAAGTACTTTGGCTTCAGATGGGCGAGAAATATTAAAACTATGAATGTCCGTTTTGAGTGACTTACAATAAACTTTGACAATAAAGTATAAAACTTTTTGAGTGAAATAATGAAA